AACGATTTTTAAAAGGTGGTGCTAACGGTTATGGAGCGGGCAATGTCGGATGAGTTAAAGTTCTCAAAGCCTATTTAGAACAAAAATACAGTAAAGCCAATTCCACTTCCCTCACTGAGACTTATAATAATAATCTCTATCAAGGAACTTTTATGATGGGTCAAACTGGAAACAATCATACCTCCTTTCGAATTACCGAAAATGAAGCAGTCAAACTAATCACCCGCACAGTTAAAGAAATCGGTAAAATCAAAAAGACTGAGTTCGATGCTTATGTGAATGGAGCCGGCAAATCTACTTTGGCGGATGGTAATTGACGACCCGCCTCTGAATTTACCTCTACTAATGTAATCTCTTGAATGGATAATATTCGCGATCGAGCCAAATATTTAGTAGATAACACCATTAAAGGCACTACTTTGGATGAAAACGGCAATCGGATAGAGCATCCTGATAAAGGAAAACCCGCCAATGGCCACCGCATTGAATACAGTTTTGGCGATGATTACACTAAAAAAGATGGTAATCCAGTCGCCACAAACAATTTTACCCATACTGAATTAAAGCAATTATTTAATTTAGCCAAATTATTTAGCGACCATAATTGGGTTAGCCACGATAATTTAAAACCAGCCTTAACCGAAATCAAAGGGGAAACCCTCCTTCTCTTACCTGCTGAACAAAATCCCATTAAGAGTGAAAAATTAAAAGACTTCGGCATTGAAGGCTATCTTGACAACAACGGCAATTCTAACTTCTATGCCACTAACTACGGCACCAGAATTAGCGATGGCTCGAAATATCGCCCCGTCGAATACAGTTGAGACAGTCAATTTGAAGTAAAAGTCGAGGATAATCTGCAAGATTGAGCCAGATTAATCAATTCTTTTGCCTGCGAACAATATACTGATGAAAAAAACAAGCACAAATTAATCAGTTCTTTTACAAATGATCCGATTAAACAACTATTCGCTGATTTAAGAAGTTATGACACTACTTCTAGCACCGCCACGGACAAGGGAGGCACCGGAACTGAATCCACCCCTAACTACGATATTTTCACTGATGGCACTAATCACTTTACTTACCAAGAGTTCCCGGAATTCTACTTAGATGAAGAATCCCGCTTAGAAAGTTTACAAGTCAATAAAGATCTGATCACCGAAGAAATCAAAGCCGGTCGTAAAGAGTTAGACCAAGCCGAAAAAGATTACCAAACTGCTCGCAAACAACTTTTCGCTAAAGAAAAAGAACTGGATGACAAAATTACCACTAAAATCACTGATTTAAGAAAAGAATTAAAAGAAAAATATAAGGTTGGTGATACTACGCCCAATGATTTTACTAATGATAACAAAATAACTACTAGCGAACATTACGAATTCCAAAGATTAATGCAAAATATTCGCTTTTTAGTGAATAATGATGAAGCAAAACTAACCGGCAAAACGAATGAAGATAATGCTTATCAAAGCAGCCAAGAGATTACCTTAAAAGCAATTTCGACCTGACACCAATCAACTTGAGACGGTATTGGTTATGTAACCGGGAATGAAGAAGCCAACCAAAAAAGAACCATTGAGGAACGGATTGCCATCATTAAAGAAAATAAGGATGGCAAATATGATAGCCAAGGACTAAATTGATGACATGATTGCTTAGTAGAATTAGAAAAATTAATCCAATTAACCGACCAGGAGTTGTAAAAGAGCAATACATAAAGGAAGATCAAAACTGCCTTAAAAAATGCCATTGATAACCAATCTCCCCAAGAAACTATTAAGGACTGGCAAAACAATTTAAAAACTATCGAAGCCGGACTAGAAACGGTCTTCACGGAAGAAAAGATTAATCAGTGAAAAGAAAAAAAAGACGGTCAACCCGCCTTCAACACCATTACTTCACTCAATTCTTTATTGAAAAAAGTTTGTATTGAAAAAGATGGTAAAGTGGAAAAAGTTAATGATGACTTCCTCGCTTTCCTAAAAGGCAAGGATGCCGAGTTAACTAATCTGGAAAAGTTAATCGAGAAAAAAGAACCCAAAGAGGTAATCTTACTCATTCACCAGTGAGAATACAATAAACTGGATGAGACTAAAAAAGCCGAAAGGCATTTACATTATGCTTGAAGTGAACTAGGAGGTAAAAAAGAAGTAGATAATTACGAACTAACTGAGGAGGATAAAAAAGCGGGTGGCAATTTTGAGAAATTTCTTTATCAAACTGCCATTGGCAAAATTAATGAAAGTGCTTTAACTAAGCCCACTGAGGAAAATGGTGGTAATGGAACTCCAACGATAGATGATCCAAAATGATACCAATGAGGAGGATATGCAGTCTTTTGACTTCCTCCCTTAGTAATTGGGGGAATAATAGCCATCTTCTGAAAAAAACTTAAAAGCTGATGAAATGAACCAACCGGGGAGGAAAGCAGCGAGGGGCAAGCAGAATCGGAATTAGGAGAAAGTAAGGATGAAGAAGAATAAAACTTACCATCTCACTATCAAAACTCCCCAATTGCCACCCTTCCCCCTCACTCTTGCTCTAACCCCGCCTAATCAGCGGGGTGAATGTTTCAAATGCTACCGCAAAAAAGAAATCTACATAGTCAGCGAGCGACCAATTGGCCTAAGTTGGGAAGTAAAAAAGTTTTGCCGGGAATGTGCCTTATCCAATCTGGATGAATCAGAACAGGGAGACTATGAGTTTGAAAACAAAGCCCAAATAATTAAAGAAATCCGAAAGGCTTTGGAGAAATCAGAAACTCTCCTTCCCCAAGAAAAAGAAAATTTATTAGAATGTTATGGCTAAACTAACTAAAACTCAAAAGACCAAAAAACGCCGCATGAACCAACTAATTGATAAGTTCAATTTAGAAACTGATGAAAATAAAAGGATGAGAATTTTAGAACAAATTGAGGGGGTATTCTAAAA